GAAGATCTCATTGGTAAATTGATGACATATGAGATAGAAGTGCAAGGTGATGGTGGAGTTGAAATAGTTGAGAAGAAGAAGAAGAATGTTGCTTTCAAGGCTAGCAACCAAAAGGAAGAGAGTGAAGATGATGCTAGTAATGATGAGTCTAGCAATGAGGAGGACATCACCAAATTGATTTCAAAGGAAGTGAAGAGATTCATGAAGATGAACATCAAGAGCAAGCTTGCAAAAAGAGATGAAGGAGAGTCTATGAAAAAGAGTGTGAAATGCTATGAGTGCAACAAGATGGGGCACTATAGAAATGAATGTCCCAAATTGAAGAAGAGTGAGAGGAAAGACAAGAAGAGCATGAAGAAGAAAGCTTTTGTTGCCACTTGGAGTGATGATGAAACTAGCTCACCGGAAAGTGAAAGCTCCTTGGAGAATGGTGTTGCAAATCTTTGCTTCATGGCTCAAGAAGATAGCTACAATGATGAGGAGGTAAACTCTAACTTCTCTAGTTCAATTAATGAAAGTTCTTTTGAGTATTCTTACAATGATTTATGCAAAGTTCTTGATTGCTCTATGAATGATATGAAGAAACAAGGAAAGGAGAATATTGCTCTTACTAAAACCATTTCATTGCTTAGGAATGAAATTGAATCTCTCTCAAAACAAAATGGGGTTTTAGTTAAAGAGAATGCCTCTTTAAATGGTGAGATTGCTCCTTTAAAGAATGAGGAGTCTAATAATGCTTTGAAAAAGGAAAATGAGGATTTAAAGAAGGAAAATGAGGTCTTAAAGAGAAAAGCTTGTGATTTTGAGAATGTGATTTCCAAATTTACCTTAAGTAAAGAAAATTTTGATTCTATCTTAAAATCTCAAAGAAGTATTTATGACAAAGGAGGCATTGGATTTGATTATTCTAAAAAGCAAAAGACTTTTAAGACTACTTTTGTAAGAGCAAGTCAATCTTATCATCCTAGTGTTACTTGCTATTGTTGTGGTGCAAATGGACACTTTGCTTATGCTTGTCCTTTAAAAAGATTAATAGCTCAAGGTAAAGTGAAACAAATTTGGGTTCCAAAAGGAACTTTAAGCACTAACCCCCATGGACCCAAGCAAATTTGGGTACCAAAAAACAAAACTTAATTTTGTTTTGTAGGAAAAGTTGATGGCAAAGTCACTAAGGAAAGCAACGTAGATCTTAAAAGGACTTATGCTTCAACAAGAATGTTGGAGTGGAAGTGCAAAGGAAATTTGTTTTTGAATGCTCTACTCATGTGCTCAAATTGGTATCATTTATCCTATTGCATTTATTCATTAAGTATAATCACATTAGCATGACTATTAATTTTTGGTTTATGTATGTTCACTCTTTGATATATATGCTTGTTGAATATGATATCATTTGATGTGATAATTAAAGTTTATGCAAATTAATGAGCTTGGCATATTAGATCCTAATGCTTGATATGGCTTTTGAAATTAATGTATTTGCTTATTAGAATTTGTGTATATTGATACTTTGATTTGTGTACCTTGATTATATTCATACTATTTGATGATGCATACATTGATATATGACTAAAGTTGCATTATTTAGTAGTTGATGTCCAATTTAAACTTAGTTAAATGAAGAAATATCAAATTAAGATGCATTGTCTTCAAAACAGCCCTAAACTTTCTGTTTGTCCCAATCAAGGACAGTAGAGTCGGCTCAAGAATTTTCACAGCCGGCTCCACCAAAAACTCGAGAGTCTTCTCTCTCTAGAGTTAAGCCGGCTCCAAGACTAGAGCCGGCTCTCTTGCAGCTCTTTGAATATTCGGGCTTCTCTCTTTAGAATTAAGTCGGCTCTAGGACTAGAGTCGGCTCTCCTACAATTTATGACTTTTGGTATTGATTGTCTATGATTTTGATGATTATATGCTCTTATTGAGGGGGAGTTTATTGGTTGATGACTTTATTCATGACTTTGGTTGTCTATGGTGCTATATTGATGATGATTGATGATTGATGATTATATTCATTATATATTCTTGATGCTTTAAAGGTTGATAGCATGAATTAAGGGGGAGCATTTTGTGCTTAAATTACTTTTCTTAATGGTTTTTTATGCTTAAATGCTTTAAAGATTGATGTGCATGAATTAAGGGGGAGTTTGTTGATTATGTGCTTTTTGATGAATGACAAAAAGGGGGAGAAGAATATGTTGAATTTAATGACCTGAATTTAAAGTCATTTTCTAAAGTACCTTGTGCTGAAATTCTAGTTAATATTGAAGTATATATGTGCTTTCATTAATTAATTCTCAAAGTGTTTTGTCATCATAAAAAAGGGGAAGATTGTTGTACCTATGATTTTGATGATTACAAAACACATTTAAATGACTAATTGGTTTATTTAAGTGTGTAGTTAAGTTGCTAAAAGATTGCAAGTAAACTTGGATTGCACTAAAAATAGACCAAAAGGATTCAAAATGGCAGAGAGCCGGCTCCTGAAAGCTACAGCCGGCTCTGGTGAAATGGAAGTGCGGATAGCCGGCTCTAGAAGTTGCAGCCGGCTCTATAGGTAAAAATTTGAAGAACGTTGCTTGGCGCGTGCGGAGAAAAGACGTAAAGCCGGCTCCAACTTTATAGTCGGCTGTAAGGGTGCATTTAATGCACAACGGTTGAGTCATTTGAAGATTATTTAATATATTTAAAGTCGGAGTTGCAAAGCCGACTCAAAGTTTTACAGCCGGCTCTCGAGAAAAACAAAATGGTCTGCAAACCCGGATAGCCAGCTTTAGAAGTGTAAGCCGGCTCTGTAGAGTCGGCTCTAGAATGTTAAGCTGGCTCTCCTGACAATCCTGCAACTCGAGCTTCGCGTCCTGCAGGGCATTTAATGACCCCCAACGGCTAGAAACGGCTATTTTCGAGCAAGAGGCTATAAATATGGTTGGTAACAAATCTGAAAAAGTGTAGAGAGTGTCATAACTCAAAATTTAAAAAAAAAAAAGATTTATTTTTATGTTAGTTTTTATCTTAATTAATCTGTTCAATTTCACTTTCATTTTTAGGTTTGCAAGCAAAAGGAAATTTCAAGAAAAAGTGGGAGAAGAAGAAACAAGGGACTCAATTGAAGAAATCAAAAGTTTGGGGATGAAATCCTTTAAGCTATAAATCTAGTCCATTTCTCAAACCCAAACCCAAAACCCATCAAACCCAAAGTCCACTCCAAAACTCAAACCAAACCCAACACCAACCCATTTTGATTTAAAGTCTCAGACCCAAAAGCCCAAAAGCCCAAAAACCCAAAGAACCAAAACCCATTTAACCCAACCCAACAAAAAAAAAAA